TACAGGCGGGGGGGGGGGAATTAAAAAAATTACAATGTTGAAGTAGAACTAAAGAACTGTAAAAAACAGTAAACAGTCCAGGAGGGTCCTTAAGAGCCCACCAAACTGCCCCAGGGCAGGATCAGCTGTCCCTATGTCGCTCCCAACAGTTGTCAGTCTAACCTGCTGTGAAAGAGCACCCCTGACAAAAGCTCCCCGGGCAGTAGGTTTACACAGATGCCTTTTGGCACGATGCTTCTCCACAACGAGTCTGAAGTTAAAGGAGACTTTAATGGTATAAGCAGTATGAAGGTTGGGTCCAAGATTAAAATGTAATTTTGTAAAATGAGTCTATTTTAGTAAAACATGGTCATAATTTAAAGAAGGTTGCTAAATGAAGACGACTAGACAGCCTAACAGCAAATAAATATAGCTCTGTGCTTAGCGAAACCTTTAAATTATCCTAAGGCAGCATGCAATTTCAACAGCAGTCCTGCATATTTAGCTTTCTAGGCAGCATAAGCACCACTCCTTTCCCACAACCACTCAGGAAGGGTGACGAACAACAGAAAGCTGTGCCTCGGCTTCTATTCTGTCATTTTCATGTCAGATTGTCCTTTTGCAGATTTCCTACAAAAGGATAAGGTGGGATCCTCCCTCCCAGGGTGAGGCAGAGCCTCTGTCCCATGTACTGTAGCAAAGGGGACATGGTGAGAGATCTGGATGGAAACCCAGGGATGGCTCTTGCAGAAATAGCTTCATGGAGGCCTCCATGCTCTCTCAAACTGTATGCATGTGAGGTGGTTGGTTTAACCAGCGCACAGGGTAGCTCCTGGTCCTCGTACCAGAGCCTGGTTATCATCACTGTTAGGAGTTAACACAGAAACCACATGCATACACGACTAAAACTGTTAAAACACAGGTTTCCACATGCATATCTCCCTCCTTTCACTTTGTGAGTTTAACATAAACAACATTATCTGGCAAGCTGAAAGCGCTTTCCTTACCACAAACATTTCCCCTCCCATGCACATTTTGAAATTCTCAAAGTGAGAGGTTGCAGATTGTTCTCACACAGATTTTCCCTTCCTTGATGACCTTCCCCTTTTTATTGACAGGCAGGGCTGTTTCCTTCCTCGCGATCCTGCTCGTTCTCCAGTGATAATTGCCATTTCTGACCAGTCCCATTCCCAAGTACAGAGCCTGTACCTACAGGTGGACATTTTAAAGGATGTCCTTGCACTGCAGTTATCAAACAAGGGGCTTTGCCAGTACCTCAAAAACTACCTACAGGTGGACATTTTAAAGGATGTTCTTGCACTGCAGTTATCAAACAAGGCGCTTTAAAAACAAAAGCAGTAGTATGGGAGTTGGCTGTCTTTGTTGTGTTCAGCTTGAAAACCTTTGGAGGTTGTCATTTTCTGTGCCCTCAGAAGATGCTGTGTGGGCAGTTCTTCACCCAGACCATCTGACTGGCTTGCAAAAAAACCCCACCCCACAAGACCTACAGCTCACAAGGATTAATAGAGTTTTCTCTGCTTCCCAAAACAACACTTCATTGATTTTTATTAAATTCAGAAACTAATCAGGCAAATAGCAACCAGGAAGAGAAAAGCTTTAAAATGGTGGGCTGAAATTGTAAATCTATGACATACTGTAACCACTCAGTGGAGTAATTTAATAATCACTTAAAGATAATGAACACTCTGTCACCCAAGGAAAACTTGGTAAGCGGTCTCTACTTGCAATAGCAGAGCAAGAGTTTTTCAGAACAATCACAGTATCTAACACCAACCTAAACAGACCAATATTCTCATTCAACTGATGAATTTCAGAGACATTTCACTTTTTAGTTGCAGCAATAGAACCTGCTTACCTGGGGGTCTCTCTCCTTCTCATGTCCTGACTAGCTCCGCAGGGGCACCAATAGCGGGGTTCTTCCAAAATGCAAGATGGGCTGTCCACAAAGGCTCCGACTTTGGAAATCATTGTTCCTCTCCCTCTACACAAGGTAACCCCAAACTGAATGGCTGGGGACTCACTACAATGGTGAAATGTATTTTTCTGGGAACACTATTGTTTCTAAGGCATATTTAATTTTTGATACTGGCTTGCACGGAGAACAGCATATTTGATGTATCTGAAGAAGCTCCTCTTAGCTTGCCTTTTACTTTGTTACAGGGCGCTGGCGTGTGGAGCAAGGTAGACTTAATATGTGCTTCAACATACATATTTCAGATATTTCTCCAATGCCCTATTTACTTCTTAGTTTTTTTCACAGCTGATGATTGTTCCATTTAGAACAAAATTTCTCCAGATGAAAAGTTCATAAATACAAACATACTTAGCAAGTCTTCCAAAATGCTGTTATTTTATCTGCCAGCAGCTACGTATAAATCAAGTTGTTGTGAAAGCCCTAATGATGATGTTTAAAACCTCAGTCCTCAGATCCTATTGAAAGAATACATTTCACTTCCTTTGTTCAACAAGCCAGCTCAAAGCTGTTTTTCTGGAAGAGGAGGTAGAACCACAGACAGTTTGTGAGCCTTTCAGATAAGATAGGGGCACCCAGCTGGCATACATTTGTCAGCCCAAGCCAATGCCAGCAAGCTCTGAGTGCTGCTGAGGATTACGTAAGGCATTAATTTTATAAATACAGCCTTGATAAACAGGAAGAATTAGGGAGCAGGTCTGTTGTACGACACCATTGCTGGAACATCAATGTGGCAGTGTAGCCGTTCTGCATAGTGCAAGCCCTGATAGCCAAGATGTTTTTTACATCCTCAAGCACATGGTAAAGCCATTTAATTTAATTTCTTATTTAGGTTCAGCCTCAGCAATGTAATGCTGTGGTTAACATAAAATTATTACAGGTGGATAGTAATCGTTTGCTTTTTCTAGCTACATTTAAGCTTCACAGTTCACATTTACATTTTAACTGCATTTGGACATCTCTCTTAAAAGCGATTATAGGTTATGGACTCCTCTTCTAATCTGTGAAATTGTTGCCCATCAATTTGTCATTTAACATTTTTCCACTCAGAAGACACAACCACAAAAATGGAAGAGGCAATGCAATCTAGCATTAACTACACAGTCAAAATCAAGATGTCTACTACACAGAATGTTCACCATTTGTTTGCTTGACATCAGTTGGGGCATTAACAATGGCAAATCATGCATGCAGTGTTGGTTATTAGCACAGATTTTTGTCAACTTAAAGATTAAAGATTTCAAACCAATTAAAGTAATTAGATTCTCAGTGTGGGGTGAAAGCATACACATTTTGCTGGCTCCAGAACAAACTATGGGCGTTAATGTGAAACAAATATGCCTCCTGCAACCTTTAGAAAAGGATACCTCTGCTGTCAACATTCAGCCTGAAAAGATGCTGTTATTTAGCCAGGGAAAAAAAGAAAGCTGTAGAATAACTGGGGGCCAAGGAGAAGTGAAATGTAAAATCCAAATAAACAACCCCAGGTAGCTTACAGATACAGAAAACAAAGCAAGAAATATTAGCTGCTTTTCAAAGCAGAACACTGTTGAATTACTTGCCATGAGAAACTACCTAGTTATTCACAGAATATAATTTTTCACTGTTGTCCCCTTACTTCTGCTTCTCTACCCTCATGTCCCTCACAGATGAGAACCTGGTCACAGATAGGGAAACTCGGGAGCCATAGTTTAGGATTTCACAGATAGAGATTTACCTCAAGATAATCAAACACATCATTCTTCATGAAGCCAAGTAAGAAAGTATCAATATTCGGGCTGTTTCCCAGCAGAGACTTACAGTACCTTATTCAACTCTTCTGAAATTCAAAGCTACTTCCTCTAACAGGGGAGGTACTAAATGCTAAAAAACTGGTAGACAGCTCTCCAGCAAGGCAAAGAGGCATGGGTACGGGACAGGTAGCTACAATTACATCTCATCTTCGTGTTCCATCACCACGTTCCAAAAACTACCCCACTCTACCATGGGTCAACTTGTGGCCACCATCTGTTGTCAAGGACAAGCAAATACTGTGCTGTTTTGAATGACTTTTACCCCAATTTTTTTTTGTGTTTGTTTAATGGATTCTCAGCGAGGTAGACCCCCATGACCTGAGAGTCTTCTGTTCAGGGAGAAGCCTCAACCTTTGCTGACCAACTTCCCATTAAGCCCCTCCAGGAAAATGGACTCCCACAGGAGCTACTGTAGTGTGGCCCCACCCTGGCAGATCCTCTCTTTTAGGGATCTCTACTGTTTCTTTTTATTTGCAGTTGAATTTCAGGTCATCTCAGGATGTGGGGAATAAAACCAATTCCCAAGCTCTGTCTTCCTCACTTCACTCCCTCATGTTGCTTGAGTCAGTGCCTCCCTCTTGCTCTTGCCCCCTAATCTATGCACTTATCCTAGGCAGCTCAAATCCTCTCCACCATTTTGGTTCCACTCTTACTCCACATTCCCTTCCCTATTTTTCTCTTGCCTCCACCCTCCATATCTCCCAGTTTTAGTATTCTCTTACTACTCAAGCACCTCATTTCCCCCTCCCCAATACTAGCCCCACAGTCCTCTTGCTTCCACCGCTCCAGGCTTCTTATAGTTCTTCAGCTATGAGGCCTCTGCTCCTCCAAGGAAAGTGTCTACTGGGACATGCCTACATCCTTCTTCCAAGCTCTGCCCCATGCTCCTTCTCTGCTTTTCCAAGCAGACCACCATCCTCTTAGTGTGAAATACGTATAAAAAAAAAAATTACAGAGTGCAGTTGTACAATTTTAATGTACTGCAAAGGCTTGACTTCAGAAACAGGTTCTAATGCTACTCTCGCATGCAGATACTCTTCCAAAAGACTGTGTTGAGTATCTCTTACTGACATACATCAATATGCCACACGCTCACTGAATTTCACTTTTTTAAAAGAGTATTTCAGATGAAAATTCTTTGATTGGCTAATGACCCACTGCATCTGTGTAGAAGCTACTCAGAAGAATTACGAAGTCCATTTAGTAAGGCCACACAACTTTAAAAGCCCAGTATATTGAATAAAATAATTTTATTTGTATTTACTTGATTTTTTTTTTAACAAAGTTTATGGAATCTGAAAGTAGACGATAAAAGGTAACTTAACTGAGACTTAATATGGGAGTTTCTCTACCCAAAAATATGTCAAACATTAGGATCATAAAGAACTCCAAGGTTCTGTGCTATACTGTATGATATGTAAACAGATTTTGAAAATACTTTCCCATTATATATTTTGACACAGTATGCACAAATTTAGAAAAATAAAATAAAAATGAAGTTTAAATGCCTCAAGGGATTTCTTAGAAGTAAAGCCATTTGAAGAGCCATTTACAGTCTGTGATGACAAACTTCCATATAATCAAAATATTTTTTCACAATGCAGAATACCCTACTGAAGACAACTCCCTGTCGAAGTGATGCCGGCAACACAGATCTGATTGTATGACTCCAGCACTTAAAAGAGCACATTGGTTATACATGGCTTTTAACCTTGGGCTACAACTATGCTACTACCAGAACTAAATTCAAGTCTAAATCAGTCATGTAGAGAGGTGTGTGTCATCTGAACACTGTTTAGAGTCCTTGTTTTCCAGATCTGATGAAGGTGGTGAAGGCGCTCTGAGGTTCTTGTGCTTACATTCAGGGCAGGATGAACTTTGCAAATACCAGATTCTCCAATTAATGACAAACCACAGATCCCAAAGTAGGCATGTAAAGCATCTGAAAAAAGGACAAAAAAGGAAAAAGAAAGTTATGTCAGGCTGTAACAGCCAAGTGTTCCTGGATTCCAACACCCCTGAATAATTACAGCCAAGGAAAACAAACGAGCGCTTACATTTTAAACTTGAGTTTTGACAGAAGAAATTAATTTCTGCCCAAAGCCACCATTGTGAACTGATAATCTGCAATCTCTGAATCTAGAGTTTGGTTTTGTTTTACAACAATTCTTGCCCACTACTTTATTTCTTCTGAGTGCTCAGGCCAAACAGCAAAAGAATTTGAGGAGCTGGGAACAATTGCTGTCCACAAAGCAAATTTTTTTTCCCAAACATGAAAGAATTTTTTGGCTGATTACTTGATGAACAGCTGACTACTGAAACACCAAAATTAGTGCCAATAGCTGCCAAACAGCAAGCTTTAGAAGTATGAAAGAAGTCATTACTTTACCTAGCTTCCCCCTTCCTGAGAGAATACCCTAACGATAGGAATTCATGAGGTGGCTTGATCAGCCATAACAGATGCCTGCCACCAAAAAGGGGTGGTCTTATTCCCCTGTCCCACGCTGCTCTTGCTGCCTACCTTACACCAGCACTACAGCTTGCTGAACACCCTCCATGACCTAAAGCAATCGAAAAAACATGGAAGAAAATTAACCCAAGCAGGAGAAAATGGACAGTTTTCTGACATTTTAGTGAATTACACAGGTTTGCAGAAGGTTTTGATACACACCAAAGGTAGTGCAAAAAGGAGGAAGGACGTGCCCCTGTACTTGGGGAAGCTGGGAGGAAGAGGAGTGAGCCTGCCTCCTCTGGGCAGCAGCAAGCCATTAGATTGGATTATCTGCCCCTGAAATCACAGGCTAAAGATGGAAAGAGGATGTGAACTTAATGTGCCCCTTACAAATTCTCAACACTTAGTCATCTTTTGGAGGTGTCGGTAAATTCATATCTGACTAAAATGATATTACAAGAAAGTATCTGGATAGAGAGACTCTGAAAGAAGGCTTCTGCTTATCAGCATTAATATGCAGACAGAAGCATGCTCAGCAGATACAGCTCCTCCTGACCTTGCAGAAAGAATGTCAGGCAAGGAGACCTCAACTTCAGGAAATACAGTATATTAACCCCTGTGGACAGCTCCACTGATACACACTAAAAACCATACACAAATCTAATTACCTGTATATGGTTATTTGGTGGGTTTAACCACAAAGTTCAACAGTTGTGCAAATCCATACTAACTTAATACTCAAGTTAGTTCTATCCAAAACATATATATGCAGCCTGTGTACTCCTCTGTTTCAAGCTATGAAATACACAAAGTTTTTCAAGGTCAAAAAACATAGGTCCAAACATTTTGTTTCATAAGTAATTCACAAATACGGAATGCAGCATGCAACCTTGCAACTACTTGGCTGCTGTCTTAAAAACATAACAAAGTAAGGTGTGTTTATACTTCTACGAGAGCAAATCTTGCCATAGTGTTTTACATGTAGTATTTGTGCACACTCATTTTCATCCTCTCACTCTGTTAAAATCTTTTGATCTTTCTCTTGCATAACCTGTAATTCACATGTGCTTCCAATTCTTTTATACTGCATATCATTTAAAGATAACAAGCTAGATGCATCAGGGTTGCAGCACAACCTCCTAGGGCATGCAGCAGTATATCTAGTAATTTAAAAGAAAAGTTTATTTAAATCTAGTCATGACTTATGTACAAGTCTGAAAAAAACCCAAATGGCTTTGGTATCTGTTCCAGCAAAATGTGGTGGATTAACCCTGGCAGGCAGCTAAGCACCGCACAGCTGCTCGCTCACTTCTCCCCCTCCACCCCCAGTGGGAGAAGAGGAAAGCAAGACTAAAAGTGAGAAAACTCGTAGGTCGAGGTAACTTGTAGGTCAAGTTTATAAGGAAAGCAAAAGCCACGGGTACAGGCAAACCAAAATCAGGAATTTGTTCACTATGTCCCGTCAGCAGGCAGGTATTTGACCGCTTCCTGGAAAGCACGGCTTTATCACATGTAATGCTTAGTTGGGAAGACAAACACTGTAATGCCAAACGTCCCCCGCTTCCTCATTCTTCCCCCAGCTTTTATTGCTGAGCACAATGCCATGTGGTATGGGGTACCCTGCGGCCAGAGGGGCCAGCTGTCCCGGCTATGCCCTGTCCCAACTTCTTGTGCACCCCCAGCCTGCTCACTAGCAGGGCAGGGTAAGAAACAGCAAAAGGCACTGACACTGTGTAAACACTGCTCCGCAACAGCTAAAACATCAGTGTCTTTTCAACACTGTTTTGGTCACAAATCCAAAACACAGCACCAAACAGTTGCTAGGAAGAAAATTAAACTACATTAATGTGGTTTAATGTTTGTAACAAGTAGTATTAACACAAGGTAGCAGACATAACTGCTTAACGTGAAAGACTTGGGGAAAAAAAAATGTATCAGTCACTTCTAAACAAAGAACAGAACAAATACAGTAGGTGTTCAATTCTGTTTTGAAGTATGAATCTCCCAGTGTCCGTGCCTGCTTTATAAAACAGTAATACTACTACTACAACGATATTCAGAAGATTTTTCAGATAAAAGTCTTTCCTATATTGGACAACCTGTAGATCACTATAAACAAAACAACAGTCATGTCCTGATTCACTTTGTTATGCTCACGTTTTCAAAGGTTTACAAGCATTTAAGAGTCTTTTGACTTTTTAGATTTATTTTCAAAGGCAAGAAAGTTTTCTAAGCTCACTGCTCAATAAGCATGCTGGTTCAAACAATATTTTAAATCAAGAAAAAATGTTAAATAATGCTACTGGCCTCCAGAACCAACAACATGTTGATGTCTGTTAGCATGGAAACATCAGGACTACAAAATAGTATTTCCCTGAATCACCAGTTGTGAAAAGTTATTTGCAACTTTGGAAGTCCACGTAATATATAGGTTATCAAAAGCAGTTGACTGTTTTCTGCAATTTCTTCTAGTCTTCTTCCTAAAAACATTACTGCACAGCAAAGACAGGTTGACTATCCACATTTAAACAGAGCTTTTATAAAGTAGGAGCTGCAGAAGTTCAAACTCTGAATCTATCTCTGAAAGCACCTTTGAAAAAATGGCATATTCTTACTTTGCAAACTTTCCCTGGAATATTCTGTCATATCTGAGTTTTGCAACACAACCAAATTGAGGCCACTGTTACCAGCTTTACAAATGCTGAATGCTTCGAGAAGAATGAATAATTTCTGTCCAAATTCAGCCTCAACAGAACTATTAACTCATTTGCAAGATGACCCATACCACTCTCATTACCTTCACATTTTGCATTTACACTGAAGTCCAGAGGACTGTGTACATTTAACCAACAGTAGGCTTTTGAGAACAATCAAGCTGCACAGATGCTTCATGTTAGTAAAGTGTGAAATCTTTATTGTGGAGACATACAACGATCAAGAGACAGCTTGCCTTTCAGATACTAGACTGAGCTTGTAGGAAGCTCAGCTGTGTACGTATGACAATGAAATCACAGTTCCACAGAAAAAAACTTTGCAGTGCTGCATTTATAGTCATTCTTCACATTAGAACTGCATTAACTTTTTACTCTTTCCTTCAAAACATGAACACAGGCTTATGTCACCGTCTGCCTGAGGAAAGAATGCTACAATAAGCCCACCTATCACAAGAAAACAAGATACAGAAAAAGCTTGCTTTATAGGAAACAGCAGTGTTCAGGCTGGAACACCAGAAAAATCAAAGCAAAACAGCTTTATTATTAGTCTTACCTTTCTCAAATCTTACCTCAAACAATCACAGCTATGCTAAAAGACAGGATAAGGAACTTTGCACATGACTGGGATTTTAAAAAGATTTTTTAATTCCTAGCTCACTAAGTAAATGGTTCATCATGATAAACAGAAATATTTCCTCCAAGTGACTATCTATATAATGCAGAGTAAATACAGCTAAGTCCTCAGGAATCCTAAGCTGGTTTTCAGGAGAGTGGGGAGAGCACATCTATCACAAGCACTGTGTTTTCAGTGTGGGTCCATCTTGAAAAATTCTCAACTATTGTTCAAATTGAAATGATGAAAGGATGAAATATCAGGGCACAGATTCTGAACAGACTCATCTTTTATTATGACTAAATTTTTATCTTATTTGGTCCATTTACAGACTGTTTATATTTCCTGTACCAAATGCCACTGTGGAACAAGGTTTGTTTTCACAAGTTTTAATATCTTCGTTGAATTCTAGCATATTCTGAAATTGTTTCAAATTAAGATTTTAGCATCTTTTCAAATTTTTCACTACTTCAAATTACCTATTTCCAAAAGGATAATAATTAACTTTCAGATATACTACATATAATTGCTATGTGTAACTACAATCTATAAATCGTATATAACTATGTAAACTTTGACTGTTTTTAAATACATCAATGACTTCTGAATAAGCTTAAAGGATTCATTTAAGGAAACAAATGTTCTGAAATATGTTACTCAGGCAATTTACAAAGATACCCACTGCACGATATTCCCTTTAACTAGAACAGTTAAACACACACGGAAAAGCTTGTCCAGCTCTAAATAGACAGCAATACTCTTTCAGCGATAAGTCTAAACAACAATAGCTCTCTTATTCTGTGGCTGAACAAGGGAAAACTACACTCCCGATCTTTCCCTTAAATTATGAAAATTTCATTATATTTAAAGGGTTTTTTCCATTTTTTGAAGAAGACTGAGGGGAAAAAACCTTCCTTTACAGCTCTAAGATGTCTGACTGCTGGAATGTATTTCTAGCTTACAACACACTCACCATAATTTTGAAAAGTAAATTTACCTGGATGGCTATCTGGCCACTTGGCAAATCCACCAACAAGCCGATCTTGAGTTGACAGGATGTAATTTCGGTTTTTCTCAAAATTTGTATATTGGAATATGTTCAAGAGCTGAAAAGAAATTAGACCGTTACAGTAATATACTAAATCTCAGTGTATCTTTAAGACTAAAATATCATGACTATTTATGAGATAAGCAGTGATAGCAGAGATAGCACTAATCTGGTAAACCTCCATATCCTGCATTTTTGCAAGATGAAAGACCTTTATAGTGATCTGTGCATATTCATGCAAAATGCGTAACTCTTGTGCCAAATACGTAACTTTTCCAAGCAAAGAAAAGATATGATGCTTAAAGAAATCAAAACAAGTCAGTTACTATCCTGCAGCTGTTCTGTACACTACCTTCAATGTTGCTCCCACCCAAAAGGAATAGCAAGTGTCTACAGGTTTGTTGGGTCGTCCATGGTAGCCATTCTGTTGTCTCATTATACACCACCTTCTTATTCTGTTCAGTTCTTTTTCTGAAAAAACTTCCTCCAGTTTACCCATCAAACACAGCGATGCAATACCACAAAATGTAGAGCCACCTGTGAAGAGAGAGTTGTTTTTGCAATGTTTTGATACCCAGATTTTCACTGAAGCATGTATAATCTCAGTCAGAACTTTAATTAGGGAACTAACCATTAAATAAATGGATTTTTAAAAGTACGAAAGTGTTAATTTTAAGTCTAAAAGCCAAATAAATAAAAACACTTTAATTCAGCTTGTATGTCAAAGGGGGGAAAAACCCAACCCAACTCTTGCGCAAATAAACCTGAATTCATTTTCTTAAAGCTGGATTGCCTCTCAATGCTGCGCAATTTACATTACACAGCAGTCCAGAAATAAGCAAATTGCAATGCAACAGAAAACATTTCTTCATATGTAACTTAAAAAAGAAAGCTATTGGGATGCCTGCAACCAGACTGAAGCAGAGATGCCAAAGGCAGTCTCAGACATAATCCCCCAGAGGATATAAACTGACAAAGTGTCTGATGAGC